GTGCAGGAGCTCTTACGTGCTGGAAGGTGTTGGTCACAAAGGAGAGAGTGAGCATAGCTGAGGGCTTGCTCACATTGAAAGGGTGCTCCACCTCACCTTTCAACAGGGCATTACTATCCAGTGATGGATGATGCCCCTGGAAAACAGCAAGCTGTGGCTGGCTTTGGCAGGTGGTTGCAAACTGCGGGGCTGTGTGCCTGCTCACCTCATCACTCGCCCACCTGCACGGTCACTGCCCGCTCCTGACTCCCATTTGGTTGAGAAGGGACACGTCTCAATGTCTTGTGGTAGCAAAAGTGGTTTGTGGGGAAGTTCTGAGTCTTGAAATGCAACTTAGGGCAAATAGGCCCCACTGGAAAAGCAGCACATTTTTGTGAATATGCTGTCCTAAGGGCCTAGAAAAGACAGAATTTGCACCTACGTTGACATTTCCTGAGGCAAAGCAGTTAAACAGATGCCAGGGAAGCTCTGAGGGAATATATGACAAAGTGTGGGTAGGGCAAGATGGTGCTTAGGGGCCTTGTTCCTCTTTCCTGCTTACCATCTTTGATCCCATAAGTACCCTATGAATCCAAAGGCAGTTTTATGCTTTGTAGGAAGAAAATAGAGGTGAGAGAGAAAAGACATAAAATATTTGGTGTTGCAAAGCCACATACAGCCCTGGTTTAGCTCGGCTCTCTCAGTCCAGCTGCCATAACCCTGTGCTGCAGCTGAGTTCAGTGGCACTGATTAGAGATCAAGCACTGTGCTAGTGCAGGGGATAACCCTTCCTGGCCAAGCTATCACAAGGAGAAGAATATTGTCATAAATTTGTGGGTATATGCCAAATGCTCTGATCAGCATTTAAATGGACTACGGTTTCCATTAAACGAAGACTGTGCTACTTCCTTCTCACTTTATGCTGGAGACCTAACCTCAGTGATCAACCACTCCTGGCCTTCTTTTATTCTTAACTCCAGTGATTTAAGATTTAAAAGGATACCCCCTGGCTGGGGATTCCTGTTACAGTTCAAGGAAATATTTATTCCCTTCTCTAATTAAGCTTCTTCCATGCATATAAAGCCAGCTCCTTACCTGAGAGGGAGAGATAGCTGTAGGCAACAGAAAGCTCATGCATTTCCCCTTCATTTCCTTTATCTCTGCAAGCAAGCTCAGCTCCAATCAATCTTGGCATGATCCCTGCACACTCTTTGTCCAGGCCAGACCCCATCAAAAATTAAAAGGGACTAAGCACAGCAGTGCAGTCAAGGGTCTTCCTGGGGTTAATGACCAGTTTTCCAGCTGACAGTGGCTTGGCATTGCAATCAGGAGATGTTGCCAGCAGATACTGCCTGCCAGACTTGTTGGGCAGCTTGAGAGAAATGCTAATAGCATATTGCTAGATATAGGTTTCTCATTCTTCTGTGGGGAAACTTCATAGTAATGGCATTTGCATTAAACAGCAAGATGCTGATATCAGCAATCATTGGTTAGAGGCTGAACTTTCCCACAAGAGAGTGGGAGATTTTTTTAAATACAGTATTCACAGGAACGTGCTCCGGAACTCAGCTGTTGTCTTCTTGATTTAACCTCTTCAGGCAAGAAGGTAAAAATTCTATGTTGTTTTGTTGTTTTCTTATTTTTTTTTCCAAAATAACTGTGATTTTTTTTTCTTTTTTTTTTTCTCCTTTGTTTTTTCCCTCATCCAAAGTACTCTACAGGCTGGTAAAGTAAACATGATTTTTACATATTGGGCAGAAAGAGAGATACCTTTACAGGCTGCAGGCAGCAAAACACACTGCTAAAATTTAGGTGGCTCAAGAGCTCACACAAAGGGAGCTGATCTTCAGTGGGACATGAATGAGGATTTAAGGGACACATCTAAAGATTCTTGCCTAAATTTCACAGGCTTCTGAATCTGTATTTTCACCAAAACCTCTCTGTCCACCCAGTAAAATCTAATTGCCACAAGACTGATGAGTTCAGTGGGTTGTATGAGAAAGTAGACACTTTTCTTCCTGTCTCTCCAGAAGGGCTGAAGTATTGCAGGCACTTTCAGAACACCTCTACTCACTCTGGTAGAAACAGCGTTCATATAAAGTGATGGTGCTGGTGAAATGGGCCTGAGAAATGCAGGTTACTTTTCCTTCTTTACTCACATTTCCGTGGCACAAGAAAAAGCCTTGAAATGTTCTCTGGAAGAGAGAGAGGGCAGGCAATTCTTTGGCTGGGTTCTAAGGCATTTCCCCTTTACACTGATCCCCACTACCAGGGAAGTTGTTTATGTTCTTAAACAATGACGCTATAAAAGAGAAAGGGTGGAGTGGCATTCAGATTTTGTTTTGTTAGTGGGGGTGCAAGTCTTTGCTATTAAAATATGAGCTCCTGGGTTTGGCAATGCTGTTTAGAAGCTTGCAGAGAAGCCTGTGCAGCTGCACACAGGCACAGCAAATAACTTGCCACCTTACAACCTATAACAGGCCAATGCACATCCATGCCTGTTTATTAAGAAATAACTGGCCTAGAAAGAGGTACAAAAGATACCAGAGGGGCTGATGCAAGCTAATAAAAGCAGTCAGGAAAAAGCTTTCTGGCATAAGAGTAGCCTACTGAGAAGCTATGTTGTTTGGAAAATTAACTTGGCACCATTTCGCTTGAAAAGCTGCTTTGTACTGAAATGTATTGGTTTTTGATTTAAAGCATGTGTTGTGCTACTTAGGGATGATCAGAATTGCTATGTTATAGGAAATTTAATTTTTCTTATGTGCTGTTTGTCCATTTCATTCCAAATCAGCACAGAAACACTTGGAAACTTATTTTTGTATATTATTTTGTTTGACAATGAAAAATAAGAAAGTAACTTCTACCAGTTTTCATGTGAGGAGACAGCACTGTCACGTTGTCTTTTTCTAGGATAGACCATGTATTTTCTGCCAATTCTATTTCCCTCTGTGCAGGTAATGAAAAATAAGAAAGTAACTTCTACCAATTTTCATGTGAGGGGACAGCACTGTCACGTTTTCTTTTTTTTCTAGGATAGACCATGTATTTTCTGCCAATTCTATTTCCCTCTGTGCAGGAGAAATGAATGTATATTAAGGCACCTTAATGGGATGCAGATTGAATAAGTCAAACATGCAATGGGAATTATCATGTGGCATCAGGCAAAACAGGTTCCTTCTTACTTAACTTGTATGAAATACAGAATTACCTTAACAGCAAGGCTACAGGTCTCTTACCTTCTCCACCCAATTCACTGCCTCCTCCTGTTGACTGAATAATATAATCTAACACAACCATTAATTGTGACAGCTTTCAGCACAGGTTTATTTATTCTTTGATAGTTTTTGTTTTGATTTCATCTACCCTTAGCCAAAAACAAACTAGAAAGAGAGAACAGATCATGAATAGTTATAGAAAAGGAGTGTTCATCATTTCACACAGCCATGGAGGAAGTTTGTAATTTTTACAAGGTCTGTGGTATGCAGTGGTTTCTTCTGAAGGAAGCAATTTTCCTGGGTAGCTTCTTGCTCACATACTGCAGTGCCAGTAATTTCATTTGCCAGACTATGTTAAAAGCTGCTGAACCATCATGCAAAGGATCTCCTGTCATCAGGGGCTCTGCACTACCAATAATGCTCAGCACAGGTGCTTTGGCTAGTGCAGATCAGCATCTAGGAACTTCCTGGAACACTCCTTTTGATCCTGTATCATCCCTCCTTACACTCCAAGATTTTTTAAAAGTGACATTACCATTTGCTGTTCACCATGTAGATCCAAATGCTGTGATCCTTGCAGTAGCTCCAAAGGTCTGATTGAATTATTGCTCAGATTACACAGAAGCCTTTGTGGTGTGGAATCATTCATACACTTGCTCCCACCCCATTTCAGGTTAAGGAAGTTCACTAAATCCTTTCACTGTGCAGTAAGAAAGTTCTTTCACTAGCCTATACCTGCCCTCTCTTCCTCTGGATTTCTAGGGCAGCTCTCTAAGCAGTTCCTGCTCACAAAACCATGGAGTTGGCTCTAGTGTTTGCACCTGGATGTCTCCCTGTTGGCAGCCTGCTGCTTTTGCTGAAGGAGTGGCCACATCAGTGTGCCAGACACTCGCTTGAAAACCTGTTCCCAGATCCTGGGCTCTCCCTCCATTCTTGGCACTCAGCCTTTCCCTGCAGGGTGAGGTGGAGCTGCCTTCTTCCTACTGAGTAAGATTATTAACTCTTTTTTTTTCTCCTTGACTCGGTCTGAAGGTGGGACACACCTACAAAGTGCCTCATGCCCTACACTCACTGTGCCCGATTTCAGAGCTCCATTTCAGATCTTGCAAGAGATGTGGAACTATAGCACTACAAACATCAGCCATGAAACAGCACTGTTTTGCTTTCAGAAGGTTGTGGATAGTAGGATATGAAGGTGGAAAACAAGATAAATTGTTTTGTGCAATGTCTTGTTGTAAGATTACTGCATTATTAAAAGGAAAATTAAAACCATATTACATAAAAATACACTAATAGCAGAGCTAAAACAGCTGTGTTCAGAATAAATGAGATAAAACTCATCCTTAATTTGTCTGTGCAAAGAATCCTTTGGTATTTCTAATCTGTTTTGTCCATTTGCATTAGGCCTTTATGTGAAGTATTTCTGGACTCCAGAGCAAAACAAAAGTCTCAGTATGGAACATCTATGAGCTTTTCTTTCAGCATCACAGGTTCTGTCCACAGAGCATCACTCAGAAACAGTATGAAGCATTAATTGTTTCTGTTAAGTTGTTAGCCAAATAGAAAGGAATGTCTGCATTTGCCACACATTGTACCTTCATATATTCAGAAACTTTACATTTTCATCTCTTCCAAGCCTCTGCAGCAGTTTGTTTTAGGCTCCGTCTGTTTTCCTGCTGGCTGAGTTCATTCCCACTGTCTGGCACTTGCTGCAGGTGAGGAAGGTTTCACACACAAATGTCGTATCTTGCCTGAGCCATATCAGCTCCCAATGCCCTGGTAACTTCTGGAACCTGAGTGCCAGCTTTCCATGCAAAGTCATGCCGGGCTCGTGGCTGAGCTGGAGATGGTGAGCATGCTGCATCTTGAGAGCAGTGCAATGCATTTTGAGCAGCTCTTTGCATAAAGAGAACTCTGTGAAGGTCAGAGTCTCTCTGAGGGGAGGGAGCTGTGGCTGTGGTAGAAGAACTGGGGCCTCAGTGGAGGCTGACAGGGGAGTTTTGGCTGGAATGGATTGCAGGTCCCCAGCACCAGGTAACCCCTTCCCCAGAGGGCTCAAGACAACTCTCAGAGGGGCACCAGCAGCCCAGGACAGGCTGTACAAGTGTCCTGCTGATAAAAGATCCTGAAGTTCAGCTTTGCACCGGTCTCTTCCCACCTTTAACCTCTGGTGACACAGACTGGAGCTCCTCATGTAACCTGACCTTGCAGGCTTCAGGGCAGACAGGGCTGATGAAGAGTGCCTGCTGTGCTGTGGCTGTCTGTGGGCACTGGGGAGAGCCACTTGGCTGTGCACTCACTCCTTTTCCAAAAGAGAGGAACTCTGGCAGCTTTCTCTGCACCTGACCCATGCTGGTCCCAGTGCAGGCTGAAAGGTAGAGCCAGCCAGATCTGTGCCATGGGAGACATAAAGGATTTGTCACCATACTGTGGCTGTGTATTTTCCCCTAAATAAATAACCTTTAATCTTTCTGGAACACAGACCAGTGCTATTTGTCTAGTAATTTTTTTTAGTGTTTGGTTTTTTTTTTTTTCCCTTGGTTTGGTTTTTTTTGGTATAATGATTCCAGAAAATTCTGTGTGATCCCACTGGTATCTACACAACACCTTTACAATCTCCTAAGCCTAAGACTCAGGAAAGGATTTTCTAATTTCCTGTTTTTTAGATGGCCTCCTCCTTGCAAGGACCAAGCTCAACTTGTTCAAAGTGGAGTGGATTGGAAGTAAATGACGCATGGGAGAGGTATCAGACTGCAATGTTTCTTGTGCAAAAGTAGAGAGTGACACATATCTTGTCATATCACTAAGCAGGAACTTACAGACTTCTTTTCAGAGCTCTTGGGCTATTTGTTTGGAATTTTAAATTGTGGATCCTACATTAATCTGTGACTCCTGGAAAACTTATTAGAAGTTAAAAGTGTATTTCAAACTGTTAGTGTTTCCATATGTAGTTCAGTCTCCATAGCTGTTAATGAGCCTTTTTCATGTATGAAGACATTTAATTAATAGTGATTTTATTTTTAGAAACCTGTTCTTTGGAGCCCCCTTGCCACACCTCTGGTTACCACAGATGGTTATATGCAGGCTTAGTTTCTGTCACCAGGTCTCTATCACTGATGTATGTTGTTAAGAGGAAAGAGTTGATGCAGGGGCATGCATCAAACCAGTGTGGAGAAGGAAAATGTTAATCCATACCTATCTAATTTCAGTACCATAAATTGAAATAAAACACAGCATGGGATAAGGCAGAAAAAGGGCTCTTTTTGAGGACATATGTTGTGAGCATGGGTCCCTTTTGCAGACCCTCTGTGCCTTTGCTCCTGCTGTGCATCATAGACTCATCTGGGCAAGGCTGATTAAAATTTTCAGAATTTAGAAAATGTCTATTATGTTCAACAACCAGCTGTGGGACAATTTCAGGGCTGAGAGATGATCCACAGTGTGGTCAAGCTAGGCCAGCTGCACTAAATTTTTAAATTCTTTTGTGCTCCCACTCAGCAGCTGCTTCATGATGGACTCCATTTCTAGACCAGTTACTGAGTTTTGCCTTGATCTCTACAAAAAGCTCAACAAAAGTGCAGAGGACACAAATATTGTCTTCTCTCCTATGAGCATCTCTGTTGCCCTGGCCCTGATCCATCTTGGTGCAAAAAACAACACTGCTGCTCAGATAGAAAAAGTGAGTATGAATGAACCATGGTGGGGTGCTTCCACATTGCTTTCTGTTCCCTCAGAGGAAATGCTGGGCATCCCAGCACAGCACACGTGTGAGTGTCTCACAGGAAATGTGCACAAGGGCAGGCACAGGTGCTGCCTTCACAGCTGTGCTTGGGGCACTGTGATCCCTGCCATCTGCTGGGGTGAGTCTCATCCTGTCCCCTGCAAGGGCTGACTGAGGGGAGGTGATACAGCACAGTGGGGTGCTCTGGCTTTCCCCAGGCCTGTGGCAGAATGTCAGGCTCATTTCAGAATTATGGGCAGGCGTTTCCTCTTGTGGTTGCTACGAGAATCCTGAGAGTGGGAGTCTGGGTACACCTGCAGACACGTCAAGGGGTTGCACCTGAGTGGCTGAAAGCATTAGCTCACTTGTCCCTTGTGACTTTCGAGGGTCAAAATGTCTCTCCCCACAGAGCCCCAGGTGGGCAAAAAGGGGATGAAGATCACACCTCCAGTCACCGTGCTTTTACTTCCTGCAGTGCAAGTTCTGCTTTCTACAACCTTCTCTTTTCTTTTTTCTTTCTTCTCTCCTTCCCCTTCTCTACCATAAGTGGTAGAAGACCAATAATCTTAAGGCAGAGCTTCTCACCACAATGTGGTGGGTTAACCTTTGCTGTGGCTGCCAGGTGCCCACCCAGACACTCCGAGTCTGTTCTCTTTGCACAGAGACCACCCCTACAGCCCCCTGGCTACCATAACCCTGCCACATCCCTACTTAAGACAGGGACTCCTGCTTATTTTAGGAAAGAAATGGGAATTGCTCAATATCAGTATCCTCTAAGAAACGAGAGCATGTCTATGTATGATGCATGATGCAACATTATTATAATAGAAAAACTGCTGAAAATTTCTCAGCGATGTATTTGCACAGCACAAACAAGGACTGGTTTCCATTAAGAGCACTGTGGCTTTGATCTATTTCTTAAGCTGATGCTCATGTTAAGGATGATTGCAAGAAGGCAGTTTTGGTGGTTTTGAAGAAAATTAATTTTCATCTCTTTACTTGGGGTAACTTTTTTGTTTTGAAATTTAGGATAACTGTAGCAATGAAAACACAAATCAAATATAGCAATGAAAACACAAGTCAAATATAAACATTTTGAGGTAGTGAAGAGTAATATTTTGAGGGATTAAGTGCAAGTTCTTCTTGGAGTGTTAATATAGAAAAGTGAGTCTGAACATGAATGTATGAACAAGTTCAAGTCTGTCATTTTAGCTGATGAGTGAAGCTGCTAAAACATCTATCGTGAATCTACGCCATTTATCCAGTAGGGGACAGCAAAACTTTTAAACAAGGAATATGGTTTTATCCCAGTTACAACTGACATAACTTGACATCTTCACCTGCAGGTGCTCCATGTCAGGAAAGCTGCAGGAAGAATGAGTCTTGGATCTGATCACGAGAATGCAGCTCCAGAAATGGAGCCAGAAGGAAGCCTGGAGAGTCAGCCTTCCTTCTCAGAGGTGTGTCCTTGGGTGGGGAGCCTCGCCTTCACTGCGTGGTAGGTTAGTGCGGGTAAAACACTGGCGTTTGCCACTGGAGGGAGTCAAGATCCCATGCTCAGAGTCTGCCTAATCCTCTAGGAAATGACTGATACAAGGTTTTATTTTATTAAGGGCCAGTAAGTCAATATCAAAGCTTTCAGTGATCTCATCCAAAGGAGGATCAGCCTACAAAGCTTGGACTAGCTGGATTTAAAAATCAGTACAGCAGGAGTTAACATTATAGTGTTATCTAATTAAGATGAAAATTAGCAACCAAAACTGTACAGAGGAATAATTTTAATTGTTGTGTTTGTGTTACTCCCAGTGTAACAAGGAAGGAGACCTTGATCATAAAGTGTTCCAGGAGTTGCTTTTGCAGCTACAAAACCTTGGTGAAAAATACGTTTTAACCTTGGCCAACAATCTCTTTATACAACAAGGATTTGAGCTCCAGCAGGTAAGTCACCTGCTAACTGTTGTGGCTATGACCTTAAGCTTCCCTGTAGTTGTGAGCCTCACTGTTACCCCTCATGTGTGTGTTTTGGAGCATGTAATGTGCTATATGGAGCTATAGCTCTTGAGGCTGGTGGGAAGGAGACAAGACTGTCAACTTTCCATGACTTTATTTAAAAAAAAAAAAAAAAAAGGAAAAAGAAAAAATAAACCAACAACCCCCCCAAAAAACCCAACAAAAAACACCAACAAAAAAACCAAACCCCAAAAAAACCAAAAAACAAACAAACAACAAAAAAACCCAGAAACAAGCCATCCTGTGGATATCAAAGGCTATAGAGCAAAAATAAAGCAGGGATCTGTTAATTTTTGGCACATTTTTCATATGTGTGCACTCAGCCAGAGGAGAACCTACAGCCAAAAATAGCCTATTCAAGCTCTCTGTAAACCACCTACTTCAGGTCTTGCAAGTGGGACAGCTGAGGCAGCAGTAAGCTTGGAGAGAGTTTATCTCCAGGAAGGTTGTGCAGGTTCATGCACAGGACTGCTCTGCTGAACTTCTTGCTCCTTTCCTACTGAATGACTGAGTGGTCTTGAGACTACTTGGTATGGCTAACTTGTTAGTCACATCTTTGCTTTTCTGTCAATTATTTTGACACTTAAGCATCAAACAACTCATCTTGAATTTTTTCTGTTTCTTTAATTTTTTTATCCGAATCTCAGTTATGCAGTTCTCCATGAAAAGACTCATTCTTCTGGTTTTCTTTTTACTTATTTACATTTTTGACCTATGCATTAGAATCTCTTTTTCAAAGATCATCTGGATAAACTTCAGATACTTGACATTTCCAAAATGAAATTTTGCCTCACAGATTCAACAGATCCCTCACCAGTTCTAAAATACTATCAAAAGATTGATTTCTTTCAAAAGGCAGTAAGTACTTAATAGATTTGACCAATTCATAATGCTTATTTTGCTTTACAGCAATTTCTAATGTGTAGCAAGGAACTGTATGGAGCAATGCTGCAAACAGTCGACTTTCATGGTGCTGTTGAAGCTGCCAGAAGAAAAATTAATGCTTGGGTTGAAAGTGAGACACAAGGTAAAACAAAGCAAAACTATAGCCATTCTATCCTTGCCTTTCTACATGGCTTCAACAAACGACATTCCAAGATAGGAAAAGCAAAGACCTCTTCACATTTCTGTGTGTGTTCACTCTTATGCTGTTTAAGGGTAGTTCATCTTCCATCTGCTCTTATTAGACTAAGTTACTAATTTATTTATGAGTTAAAGATATATTTGCTGTTGAATATTTTTTTCCCCACCCTTATGCCTGCCCTGATAATTGCAGCAATACCTATAAGTCTTGGCCAGATAAACTGCTCCTGCAAACAGCCATAAATGCCAATCAGAACACCATGGCATAATTTGGTGACCCCCATCCTCCCTGGCTGGTTACAGGGCAGAGGAATCTACCATTTGTTTGCCTACATTGTTTTTGTCCTTTGAATAAACCAAGAACTGTGTTTCTAAGTTTTTCCAAAACTAAGTTCACAGACCAATAATAGAGTCTCAGTCCAGAGTCTTAATGCTAACAAATGCTTCTGTGGATCAAAATTCCCTTTAGGTAAAATCAAGGAACTCTTTTCACCTGGTGTGATTGATGTACGTGCATTGCTGGTGCTTGTGAATGTAATCTACTTTAAAGCATCCTGGGAAAGCAAGTTTGAGGAAGAAAAAACAGTTCTGAGGGATTTTAAACTGAATCAGGTACATCTGCATTCTGTAAATCTTAACATTATTCACCTTAGATACTGTCAGGATTGCAGCAAGCATAACAATGTTTGGGGCTGAGCTGCCCTGTGTGTAAACTGTGGGTCTGTTGGGAACTTAAATTACGTCCCCTATTGGGTAGAGGTGTTGGTAAGAGCTGTATTGCCTAACTGACTGTGTAATTTTATTTTCAATAGAACAGAAAGAAACCTGTGCAGATGATGTATCAGAAAGGCAAATTTAAACTGGGCTACATCGAGGAGGTGGGTGCTCAGATCCTTGAACTCCCTTATGCTCAGAAGTCACTGAGCATGATCATCCTGCTGCCAGGGGATGTGGCTGATGGATCTGTCAGTGGGCTGGAGCAGGTAAGGCAGTACATGTCACAGACTAGGGCTGGAAGCCACGTTTCTGAATTAACACTAGGTAAAGATCTCGATTTTTCAAAGCTTCCCACCTATTTTAATCTCCTTTTCCCCCCATCTTATAGATTGAAAGCACAATCACCTATGAAAATGTAATGCTGTGGGCCTCCTCAGAGAACATGTTTGAGACAACAGTGGAGGTTTACCTGCCCCGATTCAAGCTGGAAGGCACCTTTAACCTCAACGAGGTTTTACAAGAGATGGGGATGACTGACATCTTCACTGAATCAAAAGTTGACCTTTCTGCAATGACATTTGCAAAATCACTGGTGCTGTCAAACGTTGTCCACAAGGCATATGTGGAAGTTAATGAGGAAGGCACCGTGGCGGCGGCTGGCACGGGAGCTTCCATTGTGAGGAGGTCTCTGCCTCTCACAGAGGTGTTCATGGCTAATCACCCTTTCTTATTCTTTATTAGACACAATCCTACCAATGCTATTGTTTTCTTTGGCAAACTCTGTTCACCTTAAGGTCAGGGCCATTTTCTAACACTGTGAGGACCACCTGGATGAAAAGCTGAAATTGTATTTTTCTCCCAAATGCTTTCTTAATCCTTTGATGGCTAATTTGTACTTCAAAATAGTCACTGCAGCCAGTTTATTTAGAACCTATGAATCGAATGCTCTGGTAGTAGACTACTTGAATTGTAAATATTGATCTGAATCCAGAATACAAGTAAATTTTATCTTAAGCTCACTGGATATGGATAGCACTTTGTTTCCTTGATGTGCGCACGTGCTCATGGTGACAATAGGGTTGAGTTGGGAAGGGACCTCTGGATGTCATCTGGTCCTCCTCTGCACGAGCAGGGCCATCTACAGCTGGTTGCCCAAGACCAAGTCCAGATTCCTTTTGGATATCTCCAAAGATGGAGACTTCACCACCTGTCTGGACAACCTCTCCTAAGTCTGTGTTAAGTTCTCAAATAACTCCAAAGAGAATTTTATATGCATGGTGTCTGCAAGAACAGGACACAAACACATGTATTTCTAAAGATGGTTAATTATTTACATAGTATAGAGGGCTGTCTCTTGTATGGGGATAAATCAAACTATTTATCTCAAGGTTTCAAAGAATAGAAAGAAAATGATCCAAAGCATCCCACTGAAGTTACCGATGTGGAACACTGTAGCAATGAATTTCCAAGAAATGTGTTTTCCTTTTCCCATGTTGCTGAGTGGTGAATTTAGAAGTTCTGAGATGCAAATATGAGAGACAGAGCTCTCTCCATACTTTGAAGAATGAGGAAAGGTATAAATCATGGAAATCACAGTTAAACATTACCTGGCAATGCTTGTGGGAAAAAAAATAAACTTCTTTCCAGCTGATAGGGAGACATTACTGATAATTTCTAATTTCCTGGTTTAACATAAGTGACATCTTCCTCAGAGGGATGAGGTTTAACAAATTAACATTTGTAATGTGCTTTTAAAATTTATATATAATGGAGAATCAGTGAATAACATGTTCAATGCACAGAATTATATATGGCCTCAGAAAGGAGAAGACACACTAAAAATGACATGTCTCTCCTAAATAGAATATAGGCTGGCTTTAAATTTGTACATCCAAAAAGCCATCTGAAAGAAAAATCCCCTCATCCAACATTTGCACGCATTTTGTTTTCTCCTTTTGTAAATTTTCTAGCAGCTAGCATTTTCCTTTGCTTGCTCTGAGCTATCTTGATGTGATCAATTAGATACTTTACCCATGTTGAAATTCAGGAGCAAGGTAAGATGAGGTGTAAGTTCCTAAATTCCTGGAGAACATCTAGTGCATGGATTCAAAGCAGACCTTGAGAAAGCTGTTCAGACAGGGCTCCTGAAAAAGCCATTAAAAAGACTCCTTTTTTTTTTTTTTTTTAATCTAAAATAGTACCTAACTTCTGTAGTGGAGAAATTCATGTGTCTCAGGAGGCGAAGGGCCTGTATCCCATATCCTTGTTGGAATTCAACCCTGCAACTCTCGATGCACCAAGTGATCTCGGGCACTAGGCTTTAGCATTGGCTGCAGGGCAAAACTGCCCACCTTCATTTTGAAGTCCTTATATGAAGACATGCAGCTTAAACACACAAGAAGGGAATTCCAGGACTGAAAATTTTGCAGTCAATAACTGTATAAGAGATGAGTTCTGGTTTCCAGGATCTAGTGCCATTCCTGTTTTAGTCCAGTAACAGAGGAAAAAATTATCTGTATGTGGGTGTCTATCCTAACTAGAATGCTATGGAAGAATTTTTTTTCTACATTTTTCTGATAGCATGAATTTTTCTTCACTTTCTTAATATCTGCCTAGAAAAGAACATGGTGAATGAAGTAGGTCAGTTGTGAGCTTCCTCTCAGCTCTTCAGGGAGTCCTGCTGTGCAGCTTTTTCATCTGAATCCTCAGGCATTAAATTAGATATTCTTAGTTATGGGATGGCAAATCACAGCTTTTGTGTAAGAGCACTGCCACCTACACATCTCCAAGATTATTTTGCAATCCTCCCTCACTTGAGTGCTACAGTTTGGAAACAGAGTCCAGCTTTTCCACACACTTACTGACAGTTTTAAACATGCTGGAAAAGCACCCCCAAAGGACCTGTCTCACCAATTCTGATGGAAGCCTTATTTTCTTGTGGAATGTCTCATGAGGCAGGTAGCTTTTGGCACAGCTCTAATTGTAGCCTGCAGCCTCACAGCACCAGTGGCTGCTCTGCCTCCACTCACACCCTGACAGCTCCTTTTCCAAGAGACCCCCACTGCAGCCCACTCTGCTGCCTCTCACTTCTCTCCCCTGCAATCTGTCAGCACGAAGATCTCCCAAAAGTGGGCCAGCAATGACCAGTCCTGCCTTTTCCACAGCCCTCAGATTGCCCCGTGAGGAATCATCTTACTAAATTGTAGTGGGATGACCACTGTGGGGAAAGGCTTTCTCAAACTAGAGTTTCATAAGAGGAAAAGTCCCCTCAGTCATATTTTCAGATTATAGTCATGCAATCATTGCATGTTATCTAGTGGGGGCTTAGCTGCATTTTGCTCAGTGGGTTCAGCTACTGGTCTTCCATGAGAAATGCGATATTCTGCCAGAGCAGTGCTGAACACAATGCCTGTTGGCCTAAAATATGGGCATTGCTCAGCCCACAGCCACCCTCCAGCCAGCAGGAGGAAACACTGTGGAAAAGCTGACTGCTGCTTGTGATGCAGAGCAGCCTCCAGGGTTGAAGGATGAATTCTTGGCAGCATGCAGCCATTTCCTTGCTTATGAATGGTGATGAATATGAAGGATCCTGGAAGTCATGCCCAGGGGCCTTTGGTGTATCTCTTGTACCACAGACAGGAAAAGCTCCACCTTGCTGCCTTATTTGCTTGTTGGTTTGCTTGGTGCAAACCTTCCTGAGGTGCAGACTGACAATGATTGTGGAGCTCAACAAAAGCCTCAGGAGGCCAACATACATTTCAAGCCATAACCATTGATGCCTCAAGCTCCCCACACTGTTCTGCTGAAAGATGTGGGCTAGGCCTAGGGTACAGGAAATCAGATCCATAGCTGGAGTACAGCAGCAAATATCCAGAACTAAGAACCTCAGCTATGCTCTCATACCAGTGTCTAACTTCCTGTGGTGTTGTGGGAAAAATCCACATCTTGTATGATGTACTTCAGTGAACCACAGTGTCTGAAGCTTGGTCAGTGCTTCTAAACCAGCAGTTCTTGCAAAAAATCCAGGATATTGACTACATGACTGTGTTTACACAGAGTATAGCCTTTAGGAAAAAAAATGCAGGAGATTAAAGTGATTGTGGAGCTAGCTGGAGCAGATAGGGGAAGAGTTTTCTTTGTAGAAATTAATGAAGAAGGAACTGAGGCAGCTGCTACTACAGGGGTGACCAAAAGAATGCTTTGCCTCTGTAATTCCTTATGAGTTCAGAGCTGACCATCTGTTCCTCTTGTTGATCAAACACAATCCAAGCAAGAACATTCTCTACTTTGGCCAATGTTCCCCTGAAGGGTAGAGCAGGTTCTGCTTCCTTCTGCACAAAGAGAGCACAATGCTGTGGTAGAGAGGAGTAAGGCATAAATAACATGTTGCTATCAAGTTCCACTGACATTTCCTGATATCTATATTCTTGAACCCAACAAAAAACACCACACTGCTTCAGCAAGACAACTGGAAAAATTCTAATGGGCCTTTCCTGTTTAGAGATCTTCTCCAACAAGTGAACAGACTTAATAGAGCTTATTTGATACTTATTTCATTCTTAGCCATGAAAACACCCGTGCAGTGGGGCTGTCTAAAGAGTTGGATGATGTGCAGTGTAAATCTCAAGTCCAGCATGATGCATGAGAAGTCTGATGGCAGGGCCACACTCCAGGAGGTATCAGACCTCTGTCCCCAGCCATCAGGTCCCAAGCCAGACACAGCTCAGTGCTGAATCCCATACTTTCCTGAAACATGTCTCCAGTAACCCCATCTCCAATGCCTAAACACCACCATGAGGGAAGGCTCTTGGCTGCCATGAAGGCACTGAAACCCACAGGCCATGTTCATGTCCTGAGCAAGTCTCCATATACATGTTGGACATGGAGATATGTAGAGGTTTGTCCCACACTCTTCTCCTCAGATGTCCTCTCCAGGCCCTCCCTTTGGAAGCAGTGAAGTGTGGCAGTAATAAAAGTATTCAAAGCATTTACTTGGTATAGATTTTTGAACCTTGATTTGAAGGTTGCCTTAGGCACTCAATGCTTTTGAACCTCTGCCACATCTTGTCTCTTGCCTGTTGTATTACATCCGTGAACTACAAGCACAGTAGGTGTAATTTACCACCACCAGGAACTTGAATGTCTTTCACCTTCATTTCTCTGACTGGTCATTCTGAAAATAATAATGAAGGCAAAAGGTTGGGTTTGTTTGGTATCACTATGAAACTTTCTAAGGAAATTCTTCTCTGGTGCTCTGGTGTTTCACCTGTGCCTGAAAAACCATGGTCCTTGAAGGACATAAGATGTTTGGCTTTGGAGGAAGATTGTTCTCAGTCTATAATTTCTCATTCTGCCAGTTCTATGACCCTCTGCCTGATGAGTGGGAAACAATCTTACTGTAAAATACAGACATGACCTCTGAAGGAAAAGTGTTTCTCGATCCAGAACTCCGTAATGGATGAAAGTCCCTCTAAAGTACCATATTAATTTCAGCATATATTAATCCTATTGCCTCGTGTCTACACTGGGGTGCACTGAGTGTGACTGGGATGGAGCTGACTGTGTTCATAGCAGCCTATATCACGGTCTTTTGGAATTTCTGGCTAAAGCAGTGTTGATATATTATGGCCACTGCTGAACATTACTGCAAAAGCAATTCTGGTCTAATTCTGGTCAAATTCTGCCTACACAATTTTTTTTGCAATTATACAAAATGGGTTTATAGGCTATTAAAACATCAGTGAAGAGTATTGGTGGAGTTAGGATAGATTTACACTCATGTCCGAGAACAGAAT